TTGTGGAAACTCTCTTCCCTGGGCAAACTCCAGAAGAACGACAGCAGCGAGTAGAACAACCTGCGATAATGAACGCACCATTTGTCACTGACGAGGAAGTAATCCAAGCGGCGGAAAGGTTTGGCAATGCCAAAGCACCAGGTCTAGATGGTATTCCAAACAAAGCTCTAAAGGTTGCCATTAAGCATAATACCAGCCCGTTCACTGACTTATTTGAGCGGTGTTTGCGAGAAGGAGTCTTCCCAAAAATCTGGAAGAAGCAGCGGTTGGTTCTGTTGCAGAAATCGAATAAACCTGCCGGGGAACCAAGCTCGTACCGCCCGCTTTGCAAGTTGGACACGCTTGGAAAAATACTGGAGCGACTTATTTGTGTATGACTAGAGCAACACCTAGAGGAAGAATCCCCGGGTCTCGCCGACAACCAATATGGATTCCGAAAACAGAGGTCACTAGATGGATATATGGCACGAAAGAATACTGCGCGGTAGTAACGTTCGATGTCAAAAATGCTTTCAACTCGGCCTACTGGCCCCACATAATAAGGGCCCTGGAGTGCAAGAAAACACTGCCCTATCTGCTGAGAGTTGTTTCCAACTACTTGTCAAATAGGCTGCTGTGACGGGTGGAGTACCACAGGGCTCCGTACTGGGCCCACTGCTGTGGAACGTACTCTACGATGGAGTACTGCGCCTACCACTACCAAGGGAGGTACAAATCATCAGGTACGCTGACGATATCGTAGTAACAGCAGTGGCTAAGGAACTCAACGAAATAGAGATTCTATGCAATAATACCGCGCAAAAAATCAAAAACTGGCTCACGGCTACAAAGCTTCAACTAGCGGGGCAAAAAACGGAAGCGGTGTTGATCACAAGCTACGCTTAACATTGACGGGTATAGCATCACGACACAGCAGTCGTTTAAGTACTTGGGCGTGACTATACACGCGAGACTCAACTACAAGGCGCACATCGGCAAAGCCTGTCAGAAAGCGGCAAGGGTTACGGCCGCGCTAACGAGGATAATGGCCAACATTGGCGGACCGAGTCAGAGCAGGCGAGCACTCCTAGGTAAAGTGAGTCAGTCTATACTAATGTATGCTGCGGCCCCCAGGGCCAGCGCTCCAGCAGAAAACATATGCCAATACAGCGCAGTCAGTGACTCGGCTAAACGCTTTCAGGGTTGTCAGTGCGTTCCGCACGGTATCACACGAGGCCGTTGGAGTCATAGCGGGCATCATGCCACCAGATATAATGGCCATGGAATTTAAGAGAATTTTCGACAAGTCAAGAAACATCGGCAGGCGACTAACAGGCGAAGAACGGAAAGAAGAAAGACAGACTAGCTTAAACGAGTGGCAGAGACGCTGGGATGCGACCACGAAAGGAAGGTGGACGCACATGCTAATCGGTAACGTACAAGCGTGGGTTGAGAGGAAACACGGCGAGACTGATTACTATCTAACGCAGTTTCTGACGGGTCACGGCTGATTTAGAGAATATCTAAACAAGTACGGACACGATGACGGGACCGGGTGTTCCTTTCACGGTAGTAGCGGTGAAAACGTGCAGCACATTTTCTTTTCTTGTCCGAAGTATGACGCCGACAGAGCAGACCTAGAAAAGCTGATAAACGATCGAGTGGCGCCAGAAAACATTGTGGACCACATGATGCAATCTAGAATGGTGTGGAGTAGAGTCAAAGCGTGGTCCGCTATAGTTCTTCAGGAACTTAGAAAGAAAGAGTGGCAGCGCAGTAGCGATAATAGAAGACTGAACGAGACGTAGGCCAGAAAGGCGTGTGTGAAGAGCCAATTGGCAAAGCTACGCCTTGCGACGTAATACCTAACGGCGGTCCCGCAAGGCGAAGCACAAGCTTCAGACGTCGGAGTTAAGCGTTTAGCACGTAGGCGCGCTGTCTCGCAAGTCCTGAACTATGTGATAACATAGTCTGGGCGTGGTCCCGAATTAGGTGTACCCTTAGCGGACAGGATGACGAATCGTGCATAACATCTTTGGAAGATTCCCCCTCCGTTGGAAAAAAAAAACATACATATATGTGAGCACATGTACAAATATTTACACCAGTTGGTGTTAATAGATTAATTTATTTGTTAGGGTGCAAATGTTTTTTTGAGTTGCTTTTTTCATGGGTTTAAAGATTTTTTATATTGAGTTTTTTTCTTTGAGTTCCTTTTTCGTTTTTTTTTTATTTGAAATTTTAGATTAAGTCGCGTATAGAGTAGAACACGCAATTCTTTTTTGTTGTTTGGTGAATTCCTACAGTACTTTAAAGTTAGAGTCATCGGATATGTTTTACCTAGAATCATAAATTTAATCTGAATGAATTAGGTACAGCGGTATAAGGGCCTGGTTTTCTTAAGTGAGGATTTAAGATTTATATGTATATATATTTTTTTGGTT